ACAGGAGGGCAAGAGCCATGGTGAACAGCTTGGAATGTGACTTGGTTCTAATGTACAATCGTCCATTAACTGAAAACTTTCATATTTCTCCACTTTCTGAGGGGTGTATGTAAAGCACCAGGCTTCACAGACAGAATGATTTGTGTCTTACCTCTTCCCAGTAATATTCAGAACGTACTGTTTAGAATACAAGAGGATAAAAGTTAGAGATATGACTCAGTAATTAAGAGCACTTGATGAGGGGCTGGAGAGATGGCTCAGTGGTTAAAAGTGCTGGCTGCTCTTGTAGAGGACCCAGGTTTGATTCCCAGCATCCACATGGCGGCTAACAACCATCCATAATCCAGTTCCAGGGGATCTGATGTCCTCTTCTGTCCTCTATGGGCATTGCATGGCATGGATGCACTTACATACGTGCAGACAATCACACACACACACACACACACAAAATAAAAATAATAAGGGGATGGAGAGATGGCTCAGTGGCTAAGAGCACTGGCTGTTCTTACAGAAGACCTGAGTTCAAGAACCAGCACCTACATGGCAGCTAACAACTGTTCATAACTCCAGTTCCAGGGGATCTGGTGCCCTCTTCTGTCTTCCGAAGGCATTGCACAACACGGGTGCACTTACATACGTGCAGGCATAACACTCATACACATTAAAATAAAGATAAAATAATTAAATATTTAAAAATATTTTATTATATTATTTTTATTTTTATGTGTATGAGTGCATTGTCTGCACGTATGTGAGTGCACCTGTGTCATGCAATGCCTTGGAGGTCAGAAGAGGTCTTTGGATTCCCCTGGAACTGGAGTTAAGGATGGTTTGTAGCTGCCATGTGGGTGCTGGGAATTGAACCCAAGTCCTCTGCAAGAGCGGTCAGTGCTCTTAACTGCTGAGCCATTTCTCCAGCCCCATTAATAAAATATTTTTTTAAAAAGAGTACTTGATGCTCTTGCAGAGGACCCAGGTTTGATTCCCAGCTCCCACATGGCAGCTAACTACCATCCTTAACTCCAGTTCCAGGAAATCCAACACCCTCGTCTGGCCTCTGTGAGCTTTGCAAGACATGAGTGCACTTACACACATGCAGGCAATACATCCATGGACATAAAATATAAGTAATAAGTATTTTAAAAGAACTCTTTCGAATACAGGAGGATCACATGATCCCATATTAATCTATGCATCCTGTAGATTAACACATTGACCAACAGCAAAACGTGCATCAAAGCCCAGAGCCCACGGATGGGAAGAACAATCTGGTAAGCAAAGTGGCTTTTTTGCCCCCTCTGAGTTGTGCCAGCCTAGGGCTGTAGGGCTTGGGGTAAATAATTTACCTTGTTTCCTTATCGGATTCCTTATCTACAACACAGAGAGTTCACTCTTTTATACACTTTCCACTGCCCACATGCACTGCTATGGGAGACTGGAATTCTGGCAGGAAAGATCAACTTAAGAGTCTCTTCCAGCCAAACTCCAATGCACTTGAATGGCAGGAACTCAGGTTATGGGCCCCCTGCTGCCCCTGTCTTAAATCTTAAATCCTTGCTACCAGGATATTTCCTTCTTTTGGAGAACAGCCACATGGGGCAAGGAGGAGACTATGAAGATCCCAGCAGAGACCCTGACAGTGAGGCCTGGGAAACAGCCACTGGAAGGAAGAAGAGGAGGCCAGTGGTGATGGAGAACAGAGGCTGCAAAGTTGGAAAGGGGTACAGTGGGTTTGGATGCTGTTGGAGAAATGTGGCTGAAAAGAAAGAAAAAGGACAAGCTGAGATGGCAACAGGGTTAAGAAAAGGTTTCTTTCTAGTGAAGAGACCCATAGTTATTGGGGGAGGGGGATCTGCAAAGAGAGAGTTTAGCTATCCAAACTGTATGGGTGCTGGGAATGGAAGATTGCAGGCACACGGAGGAGGGCACAGAACAGGACTTCAGGAAATATCTGTTGATAAATTGATACTTGCTCAGTTTGCCTTGGCTTAGTAAACCCTGAGAGGCTGTGTGGTACTGGGGTTAAGTGTGCAGGTCCAGAATTTTGTATGATTTGGGGCAAATGACTGAAAAATCTATTATGTCTCAATTTCTTCCTGTGTAAATGGCAGGAAGGATAATGTGTCTCTTTATAGTGAGAATTGAATATTAATACATGCAAAGCACTTAGAATGCTTCCTAGATCATAGTGAATGCTTAAAATGTTAGATCTAGCAATAATAATATAAAAAAAGCTCAGCTATCTTTGAGAATTAATGATAGAAAGCTCAAGGTCAAGTCTCTCATTCTACACAATAGAAAATAAAGTGACCCAAGGCATATTGGATTTCAACTTCTGTTTTTCTTCTTCTTCTTATTCTTCAAAAGAATTTACTCAAAAACTAACCAAAACCTCTGGTTACTCAAATCTTATATACCTAAGGTATTAAAAAAATGCATTTTTTTAACCAATACATTAAATACCACAGTATATAGTTTATAATTCTGTGTGCTTACTATACATAGTATACAATTTAAAAATTGTTTTGATGAATTTAAATTTGTAGTTTTTGTTGACAGATACTAAATTTGCAGCAGCATTCCTCATAATTAAGAAAGAAATTTAATGAAGTCACAGCAACTTATTAAAAAAATTGAGAGGGGAGAAATTAGTGTAGCTGACTTGTTTCTCTGTTTAAGAAATGGATGAATCTGTGAGTGATCAACAGCTTGGGAGGGCTTGGGGGTGCTGGTGAGGACTTGTGCAGTCAGGCTAATTCCCTTATGCACCAGTCAAGTTAGGAGGAGGAGGAGAGGGAAAAGTTAGAGTGTCTCTCATCCCTGGGCATCAGGGAAAGCCTGTGGAGCTTGGGAGAGGAGATGCTCCCAGTTGGCCAGATCACGGTAATGCTTAGTGTTTGGCTTGGCTTGGAATTTTATTCCTTAACTAGGCCATGCAAACGATGTCAGGAAGGACAATTGAGGTGGGATGCTAGGCAGATCTGGAATTCACTTCAGAAGTTCAAGAAATCCTTTTTGTACCTTTTGTTTTTAAGTATGCTACTTAAAAAAGAGGGGTGGTGTAGTTGATTACTAAGTAGGTGATTTGGTTTGTATTGTTCCTGTTTACAAGAACATGGTTACGAATAAATCTAAGAACAGAAAGTGTTGAAAACCCAGGAATCACAGAAAAGTGTACTCCAAACCTTCCTCATCTTTTGTGGACTATGGATACAGGAAATGCTAAATGGCAAAGTCTGTTGAAAAGGTGACAAAGATATTCTGCATTTGTGATTTACCAAGATGTCTAAGACCAACCTCTCCACCTGTGAGCTAGGTCCCAGAAGGGTAGTGTGATGCTCAACAGATGGGCCCAGTCTTCAGAAAGTTTGGATCCAAATTTTATTACTAGTTCTGTGTGTGACCTTGGACTAATGAATCTTTGCATGTTATATTAACTAACTCCTGGGCTGGAGAGATGGCTTAGTGGTTAAGAGCACAGGCTGCTCTGGCAGAGGACCCAGGTTTGAGTCCCAGACCCACATGGCAGCTATCTGTAATTGCAGTTTCAGGGGAATCCAAACACTGTCTTCTGACCTCCTCGGGCTTTGCATGACAAGAGTGCACTTACATACATGCAGGCATAACACTCATACACATAAAAAAATTACTAACTCCTAAAATAGGGTGAATAGTATTTATTTCTTAGTTGTGAGATTAGACACATGTAATAAATCTTTGTGCAGTGCTCAAGACATAGACAGTGCTTGATAAATTACTACCAGTTATCACTAAAGCACTTAATTTTTTTTACTATGTGTATGAGTGTAGTGCCTGCATGTAAGTGCACCCGAGTTGAGTCGTGCAGTACCCGTAGAGTTCAGAAGAGAGTATCGGAGCCCTTGGAACTAGAATTCTGGACCACTGTTTGTTGCCATGTGAGGGCTAGGAATCGAACCCGGGTCCTCTCCAAGAACATCAGTACTTTTAATCACTGAGCCATCTCTCCAGCCCCCGCACTTTAAAGTTGAAAGAATATTTTACTTACATATCATAAGCAAGGGCAGAGGCCAGGAGTTGAAGGGGACTCAATCTATAAGAAGCAGAACTAAAACAGCACCTGCCTCTAGGGGCAGAAGAGAGAGCGAGGTGAGTCCTGTGCTTGCTTTGTGTGTGTGTGTGTGTGCGTGCAGGACATGGACCCCCACACTACCTCTTCCCGACTCCTGTTCTCTAGGAAACGCTCAGGATCCTAGGGGGTAGCTAGTGGGTTAGCTCAGCCAATCCTTTAACGGAATGCAGAGGTAACATATGAAGAATCAGGTACAGTCTAAGTATCAGCTCGCTCTGGGCAGCAACATGTGTGTCAGGCCAGGCACACACAGCACAAGCCCACCTTGCCCCTCTGGTCTGCACCAGTCCCTGCTTTTTTGCGTTGTAGATGCATCAGTCACCCTTAGGCATCCCTTCTTCACGTTCTGCAAAGCCCGCCTGCCACCAAGCCAGGGTCGGATGGTGCTGCTGGGAAGAAGGCTCGGTGGCCGGCCGATGACCACAAGCAGCAGGCGGAGAGCGAGCGCTCCCTCCAGCCCCAAAGAGACGCGAGGGTACACCCGCGACCCCGCCTTCCCGGGGGAAGCTGCGGGCGAGGGGCGCGCCGGGCCCAGACCGCAACGCACCGCGGCGCACGCGCACTGGCTCGCCCGCCGCCCAAGAGAGGAACGGCATGGAAAGTTCCAGCCGGTTCCAGAGCCCAAGGTTGGTCGGCGCTGCGGCCGGGGCGGGTCACACGGCGACGGCGGGGACCGGGTGTGTGTCGACCGAGGCGTGCGGCCTCCCAAGGTCCATTCAGGACCGCAACGCCGTCCGCACTGCAGGGACGCCTCTACAGGGCTAGGGTCGCGGTGTGGCGCAAGCCAGCGCGGGGAAGCCCGGCAGCCGAGGGGGCGGGGCCTGCGGTGGGCGGGGCTCCGGCTGGGCGGGGCCCAGAGGCGGGGCGAGCCGTCTGCGCAGGTGCCAGAGCCTTTAAGCCCGGGCTCGGGCGGTCGTAGTGTGCTTTCGCCGCCTGCGAGCTGACCGGCAGCTGTCCCGCGCGCTCTCCTCCGCGACCCGCGTCCCCACCCCTCCGTGCCCCGCGCCCCCGGCTCGGCTCGCTGCCTTGCGCCCACCGCTCGGGCCATGCCCCGCTACGAGTTGGCTTTGATTCTGAAAGCCATGCAGCGGGTGAGTGACCTTCCCTCGGAGCCCGTGTCCCCGCGCGGGTCCGCCCGCCGCCGGCTAGGCCTCCGTCCCCCACAACCCCTTCCCCGCGCGCCCAGCCGGCCGAATCCCTGGCTTCCTCGCGTGGTCCGCTAGAGGCCGGGCGCGCGCGTGGACCGGTGGCTCGGCGCGGCCGCGTGCGCGCGGGAGGCTGGGGGTGTGCCCGCGCGTGTGCGCGGCCGGCCGGGGGGGCGGGGCGGGCCTGGGAACTCCCCCCTTCCCGACCCCCCGGGACCGCGGGAGTCCAGTGCCAGGACCGTGGGAGGACACGCGCGAGCGCCCAGCCCTGCTCCGCTCTGCGCCCACGCGTCGTGAAGCTGCTCGTCGCCGTCCCAGTCGGCTGCTCCGTCCCGATCGCCTGGCCGCCGTCCGTGATCCATGCAACCTTCCTCCAAAGCCTGTCTGTGCAGCTATGCGCCCTCCTCGCCTGCAAGCGCTGTCACACTTAAAAAACAAAACAAAACATATGTGTGTGTGTGTGTATACACACACACACATACATACATATGTATCGTCTGACTTCTCTTTTTCCGACTTCAGCGTACCCAGGTACCCTTAGCCCAGTTTCGTTCATCCAAGTTGGGGCCTTGCTTGTGCCTTCCGAAGACAGTTTTCCTCTCCCCTGCTCTTTGATTGATCTTGAGGTAGGGGCTTTCAGGTTTGGAGGGATGGTACACGGACCAGCAGCACGGGTCGGCGGCCGGAGGTGGCTCTCTTCATCCGCTGTTCTGGGTCAGGCACTCCAGTCATCGCCGAAATCCCTATTCTTCTGAGAGAATTTGGTAATGTAGTGTGCTTGTTGTGTCCTCTCCTTCTCCAGCAGGTATCATGTCAAAAACAAATAATCCCTGTGCCTCGTCTGAACTTTGGGAAGAGTTTTCTACAGCACTGGGCATGTGGACACAGTGTAATGTGTGAAACAGGCTTGGAGTCCATGGTGGGTAGTCACCTCAGTTGGAATGAACCCCGTATGCCAGGGATCCAGATGTAGGCTCTGTTTAACAGCTAGCTATCTCATAGTGTGAGATTGCTAGGAGGCATACTTTGCACAGGTGAGCTGGGGAAGGACACCAGACAGCCACCTGATCAGGTCTGGAGAGGCTGGTCAGTATGCCATTGTATCCCCAAGTTTGCTCCTTGTATCTGGGAGAACATGGAATTGTTTCACCTCTTGATAGTCTCCTTTTTGCTGCCTTCCTGCCTCCTCTTTAGCTCGCCACCTTAAAAAGGGTAGGAATGAGGAACAGCCAAGGGAGAAAAGTGCAAATGTTTAAAAGGGACTGTTGCTCATTAAGTGGGATATGTTTGAGCCTCCCATTAACTGTACTTCTTAGGTGGTGTAGAATTTGAAATTCCTCTTTATTTTTCTTGTCATAGAGGAGGCAGGGCACCAGGTGATCACCAAAGAGGCATAATTCCGTAATCCTTTGAAATAAAGACTACAGCCTTGGTTAGCATAGCTGTGGGTTTGCTGGCTGAATGTATTTTACATGCTAGTTCAGAAGAGGCAAGTGTAGCGTGGTTACCAATAACTGTTGAAAATCCTGAGGGCAGGGGTCTAAGTACCCTTAGAAAGTAGATGATCAAGAACTCCCTTGGTTGGAGGGGAGGGTGGGGTAGAGGAAAAACCACCTGTGCCAGTGTATAAACCCAACAGTGTGGAAATTGTGTTGAAGAGATCCTTGACCTGAATAAACTAAGATTAAACAATAACAAACCTCACTTTTTGTTTGGTCTTTGAGTAGGTTGTAAAGAAGTAACAGTGATGTACAGATTTTGGATAATTTTATTTGCTTTCAGGTTTGGAAAATAGTTGAGAGGTACGGCCTTTTAATGTGATGGCATTTCCCTCCTTTCCCCTAAGCATTTTATGTGTCTTGGAATTGAGGAATTAAGCAAGCTACAGTTGAAAAGGGTTTTGAGAGACTGGTTTTTCTAGCCCTTTGTTAGACTCCCAGAATTGTAGTTTCTCCTCTGTACCTGAAGAATGGTCTTAATTTGTTTGGGGACTCCCAGATTGTCACTCCATTATTTCATTTTTATTTTGCTATATTTGACCTCAAGCTTGACTCCTTAAAACTGAGCTTACAGAATTTTAAAGTTTAGAGATACACATTGAGACTCCCACAGTGTTTCCTTTGAAGCAGAGTTGCTTGTGAGTGTTCCATGGGAAGAAGATGTTGGGAGAAAAGTTCCAATGCCATGTTTCCTCACTTTGCAATTGGAAGTTTATATCACTCTATAAAAGCCTCTGCTTTTATTGTCCTAAAGATGATTTACAGGTAACATTTAGCTTGCATTTGTGTATGTGTGTGTGAGAGAGTGTGTGTGTAGTGTATGTAATTTCTGTATTGTCTTTAGCTTAAAAAATAGATAAAAATGTGGTTAACTTTGGAAATAATGGCACAGTGAAAATAATAACGTGAAATAAAGGGCTTTGAAGGTTGTGGCAAGCCATCTTGAAAAAGTAGTTACTTAGACCAGTCTTAGATCTTCCATGTAGCAGAGTTGCTAAAATAAGGATTTTGGAAGTCCTTACTCCAGCATCAGATAGCATCAAAAGAGTTTTATTCATTTCTGAAAAACTTTGTGCAAAGGCTTTAATATAGAAGGACATAGCTGCAGAGGAAAGACCAAGGCTACAGATTCCCAGCAGTCTCCTCTCAGGAAGGCTTTTATAACAGCTGAAAGGAAAGGATTGCCTACTAGATGGTGAGTGCTCCCCCTATACTTGCAGCAGGTGGTTTAGAGTGGGGGCCGTGAGTTTGGTGGGTGAGTTCTGCTACTGGTTACTCAGTTCCTTCTCTTGAGTCAGGGAAAACAGCTGTCTTTTGGTTTTATTTTGTAATTAGGTTATCAATATTAGTATTTAATTTCAGTTAGGTAAAAGATAGGATTAGTGATAAAGCCATGTCCTAGACCCAGAGAGCTTTGTAGTTTTCTTAATATGTATATATCTGGAGTAGAAGAGGAATTTTTAGAAACATCTGTGCAGTACATAAATATTCTTTGGTTACTTAGTTTAGAAACACTTGTTAGGTCTTACCCTTTTGCCCACGAGATGATCACAGTTGGGATAGACTTGTGACAGCTCTGGGAAAATATTTTTCTTAAAATCATACCATCATTACTCAAGAATTATTATGTGAGAATGGTTTAAATAAGAACTAGTTTAATTGCTAAGTGAGTGGATGTACAGTAAAATAGCATTCATATATCTTTTTGTGTATGTTCTTAAAATAGGGATTGCTAGGCCTGGTACATGCCTGTGATCCTGTACTTGGCCAGTGAGGGCAGGAGAATCAGGAATTCAAGGTCATCATTGCCTACATAGTGAATTTGAATCTAGTCTGGGATATATAAGAACCTATTTCAAAAGAACAAAATAAAAAAATTAAAAGTTGAAGTAGACAACTATCTCATTAAAACATGAAATTGCTATGTTTAATATAATGTTCCATTTTTAGTGTCAATGAAAAGCAGATTATATTTTAAGATAACGCCTTATTTTGTAGGTAAAGAGTTTCATGGCGCACTCTTAAGACTTGGTTATATTCAGATACAGAAAAGTGTAGTGATAATTAGCGTTCTAAAATGAAGAAGACAGTAGTTTTCAAAAAGTTGTGAGCTGTAGAGCTTGTGTTTCTCTTCACTCAGGCCTTTTTGATTAGACAGCGTGGCCAAAGTTTTGTGATATTCAAGTTAGGATATTCTGGAAGGAGTACTAGAAAACATTCACCTTTCCAAACCCGTGGGTGGGGCTGTCCAGCCCTGTCATTATAGTTGGTTTGCTTGAAAACTTTGATAAATAAGACATAGTAAAATTTTTGCTGTTGGTGCAAAAGTTCAGATGGGAATATGTAGCTGTCATGTGACCAAGTCAGTCATTTTCTCAATTTGGAATAGCATTACGTGGTGCTTTCATTCAGTATTCAAGTTTTCTTGGGTTCTAGCACATTGAAGCAGCAGGTGATTGAAGGAGGCATCCTGTTCCTGCCCCTGAGCTACAGCTAAGAACAAGGAGTGGCTTGGGGGTGAGGGGTCCTTCCTCACCAGATATGGTTTGTATATATGCAGACTGCTTTTCAAAAGGTGCCATTCTGCCCTATTTAAAAAAAAAAAAAATTGTTCATGCTGGGCGTGGTAGCACATGCCTTTAGTCCCCACTCAGGAGGTTCCTGCCCCTGAGCTACAGCTAAGAACAAGGAGTGGCTTGGGGGTGAGGGGTCCTTCCTCACCAGATATGGTTTGTATATATGCAGACTGCTTTTCAAAAGGTGCCATTCTGCCCTATTTAAAAAAAAAAAAAATTGTTCATGCTGGGCGTGGTAGCACATGCCTTTAGTCCCAGCACTCAGGAGGCAGAGGCAGTCAGATCTCTGTGAGTTCAAGGCTAGCCTGGTCTACATAGCAAATTCCAGGCCAACTGGGGCTACAGGGAGACTGTCTCAAAAAGACAAAAAAATTTTTTTTCATAAGTCATACAGTCATTACTAATGTTCATTATAGAGCTTTAAAATCTAGGTTGTATTTATATGTAGGCTGGTATAGAATCTTTTCAGAATAAAAATAACTTTAAAGAACATGTTTAAAAGCAGTGAGAGATAATTTATTATGAGTCTTCATGTAGTGCTGGTGCTATATGTCACACAGGTGTGATTCATCTAAAAGAAACAGAATACAGAGGTTCGGCCAGAAGTCCAAGTGGGAGGAAGAGTAGGAGGGTCGTGGCAGTGTGATTAGAACACGTGAAAAACCTTGCAGTTGATTGTCAGGCTTCGTAGTTGACTCAGTTACTGGCTTTGCATTATAATTTAATTCAGATATTCTCATGAATTTATGTATTATGTATAAAGTGTACCTCCTTTTAATACTTTATTTGAAAAGTTTATAATGTTAAACCAACAGATTTATCAGCAACACGTGTGGTTACTTCTATTTAGGAAAATCAAATTTAAAGAATTAGTCAAATAAATGCCTGGTAAGTTACCAATTTACCTAAAAGAAAAACTCTAGTAATTTGGAAAAGGACAATCCATTCCTCTTACTCTATTGCTGCTTTCAGAGTAGGAATTGGCAAACTGGTTCACATGCCTGATCTCACCTGCTGTTTATACTTTTTGTGTCCTATGAGCTAAGAAAGGATTAAAAAAAAAAAAAACTGAAAAAAACACAACAAAACCAAAGAGCTGTATTTTATGGTTATATGAAAATTGTAAAATTCAGATACCACAGTCCATAAATGAAGTTATATTGAAGTTATACCGAAATATAACCCTGTTCACTGTTTATAACCCTTTACAGGTGGAGTTGCTGGCCTCTGACTTAGTGTGTATGGACAGAGTTTTCTAGATTCAACATTTCTCTTGGCTTTTTATGATGCTGTTTCTGACTTTTCTCTGAACGCTCCCTCTCTCCCCTATTTAATCATACAGATGATGTGTGGTTTTTGAAACAAGCTGAAAATTGGCCTTTCTCTCTGTTCTGCGTTGTAGATTCTCAGAGCCTGTCTTGGCACCGTGAACTAGTGTGGTTCAAAGCTTAGGAACTGCCTATTCCCAAGGTTGCCTGGTAGCGTTTTGCTTGTTCATCATCTGTTTTCTGACATCATGGACTGAGCAAATCTTTCTCTTCCTGTGCTCTCATCCCATATAGTCTCTCCTGCCTTAGATGAGCCTGCTTTTCTTGGATTCTTGCAGTTTCTTAGCTGGTTTCATCTCCTGTATCACTGAGGGAAGAAATAGTACTTACAAATACACTTACTGGAGTGCAAAAATATTTATTCTGAAATACTTGAAAGAATCTGAGATGAGTTTTTAATAAGAAAATAGCATCGTGTAGGGTTTCTGATTTTTCACACAATTTGATAGTGTGAACATTGTTGCTGAATTAGGGGACACTTTTCCTCAAAGACTGTCAGTGAAAAGTGACATCCAC